ATAAAAGGGATTACTAAAGTGTCATTTTTGCAAAAATGGAATTTATGTGACGGGTTAAATTTTCATGGGAATATTTTAGTTCTTGGAAGGCAAATTCTTACGGAGGATGGTGAAATATTTTCTCACACAAAAAAAGAAATTATACACATTCATACGAATAGAGTTCGAATTAATGAGTTAAAAAACATGAGAATTTTACTAAATCAAGACACAGAAGAAGTTAGTATTCGTTTACATTTTTCTCTTCTCCAGGTAGAATATAGAAATTATAAAATTGTTGATGAATTTACTGAAAAAATTAAGAAAGCATTAAATAATCCAGATCAAAAATCAGTTCGTGAGACACTTACAAACCTTTTTGAGGAATATGGTGAATTTATAGCCATTAATGTGGATATTGGCGGTGCGCTTATGATTTTATATATTATTTATATTATATTTATTACAATATAGATTTTTTATCAAGATTTTGTTTTTAGAACTCTTCTTGATGATCTTTTAAACAACACAACAAAAAACTGAACTACAGAAAAATACTATAAAAAGGTCCAAGAATATACTATTTGCAGTTCTGACTTTGAGTAAACAGTTGTCAATAAAGCCTATAGACATAAAACACCAAGTAGCAGATATAATTTAGTAGTTTTTCTTGGGTCAAGCTTTTGTATTTTCAGTAGACTTCTCAAGATATTTGGTATTCAAACCAAAAGAATATTCTGGAAACTAAACTTATCTCTAAACAGGTTGCTGTTGATGAAGCTTGAAAGATATAAAATACTGAGAAGTGGGTGTAACTTAAGCAGTTTTTCTTGGGTCAAGCTTTCTTGTGTTGTGATAGACTTTTTAGGATATTTGGTATCCAAACTAGAAGATTTATTCTAGAAGCAAGTAGTGGAATAACTCTTATTTTAATAGTATAAGCTTGAAGATAAACTATACAACTATAAACTTACAGAAGAACCTCAAATATACTTGTTGGCCCTGCTTTTTTTTTAAAAAAAATTTTGTAAAAAGTAGGCGATTTAGCTTACCCTTTCCAAAAAATTGATATATTGTTTACTTACCAAATCAAGCAGCATTGTTTATGTTTATTACTTGTTACAACAAATATATAAATGCAAGAATATGAATAACTAGATTACATGCTTCGAATATAACAATCTGAAAAAATGATGCTCCAAGCCCAACAGTGTGAATTTTTAACCTTTCTACAGTATTGATATTGAAGAAGTTTTTTCTCTTTTTTGTATTTTTTAGGTTTTAAGTTTAGACATACTATGTATATAAATTAGTATAGAGAATAGTTTAAATAGTAGTATGTAATTTTTAAAGAGCCTGACATAGGGTTATAATTGTAACTGTCCAGTATAGGTAAAAAATCTCACATTTAGTTTATTTTTCTTGCTCTTTTCTTACCTCTTTCTTTTCTTTTATTTGTTTTTTTACATATTCTCCTATATTTCTGTGTTTGTTTTAAAAATTTTTCTTTTTCTTTACTTCTCTATGAGAAGATATCATCAAATTGGTGACATCCTATTGTAGAATAGTGATCAGACAAGCGCCCAGTTAGGGTATTATCTTAATTGATCGTACTTTGCTGGTGTTGTTAGGTTATCTGTAGATGCATGTAGATAATCAGTTAGATTATGCAAGGTAACCACAGGATATCAGATCTGCATATTTAATATTACAATATTTTACAGATTCGGTCTTGATTAAATAAAGATACTGGCGTGATCTGCCTAAATGAAAAAAAAAATATATAGATTTTTTATAATAAAAATTTTTAATAATTGTCACAAATAATTATGAAATCTGGATTATCAGAAAATTTTAATTTTTAAAATTTTTTATAATATATTTTTAGACTTGTTTTAAATCTAAACTAGTATTTAAAATTAGAGTTTATAATAAAAGAGTATAAGTAAGTTTTATTAGTATTATAAGAGCTTATATTTTTAAATTAAAACTCTAGATTGCAATAATTTTGCATTATATTTGATCATGTAATCTAATTGACTTTATATTATATATGCATATACATATAGAATACAAATAGAAGTTTTTTAACAATAACTCTCTCTGTAAATCCCTTATACAACAAACTTAAATAAAAATTCGTGCACCATAAAACTGTTAATATCTCAATAATTTATTAATTAAACAGACCTTTGCTACTTAAGAAAAATTGCTTCTCTCATAGTTTTACATATACTTTGCAAGTTTCAAGTCTCTATCTTGAAAACTTGTGGCAAAAACATATAAAAACCAACTTTGGTTTCTCAAACCAAACTTTTGTTTATTTCTCTAAAACTACCTTCACAACCCTCTTGGACCATTAAGAGAAAGTTGTAGAGCTCAATTGTCCAGTTAAAACAAGCTCTAAATGAAGGCTTTTGACTTAATATTGACTGAGTTACAATAAAAATACTCTTTGCTTCTTTTACAAACTCCTTGCAAAAATTTTCTACTTTTACCCCACTTTTTTCCCTTCAATTTGTTTTCTGTGTAACCTCAAATCACTTCCAAAACTAGACTTAATTAATTTTTCTTTGTGTAAATTAATTTTTCCTTATACAGTATTAAATTTTCTACAAAAATTTATTGGTTCCTTTTATATTACACAAATCTTATACTATTATACAACATTTTACACAATGTGTAACTAATTTTTGTACCACATTAGCCACACCAGCCACACTTGTGCCACCTTAGAATACCTAGGTTACACAAGGTTATACAAGCTACAGCAGCCGCAGCAACAACCCCAGAAATAATATACTACCCCTGTTTAATACTATTTTAGCAATTTAGCTAAATATCTTAAAATTTTACTAAGTAAAGAAAACTTATGCTCTTAAGTAAACATATAACCAATACTTTATACTTCCTATTCAACTACACTGTGTACTACAAAACATGATGCCCACTCCTGTAGCTCAAACCCCAGACACTTTAGATCTTGATTACTTTTATATTCACTATGCCGGATTCTTTAGCATAGCAATTTATAAAGAAGAACCTGACAAAATCAATGCTATTCCTACTGAATTAAACCTATTACCTGTTTCACTAAAAATCTTAGAAACCATCGAACAACACACTTCTTACCAGCTCTATCAACCACCCAAATAGTCACATATCTTTGTGGTAGTTTCTATACAAACTTTAAATCTGGAAAAAATCAAACCTACAACATCAAAGTAACTGCTAGCCCAACAACATCTAATAGGCAAACCAAGAAGCTTTCTTCTATGCTACAATCATCAACTCAAACAGTTCCAACCTCCCCAACTCCTACCTCTGAATAACTCACATGCCCCAAATGCTGGGGTACAATAACTTGTAAGAAAATTAATAACATTCACCATCTTACAAATGATGCCATATTTCAGGACAACGAAGCATATCATATCGATTGCCTTCAACAACATCAAGTAGAACAGAAACAAAATATATTATCAACCACAACTACCAATTCACTCATTATGCTACTTCCACTCACATCAACCTCTAATAATACATAATCAACAGAAATGGAAATGGACAAACCAGTAACTTCTCTACCTACTTCTCCTACAAAACAATTGAGCTCTGAGCAAACAACATCAAACGATAGACAACCAAGCAACCAAAACCAAACCAACATCAAACCAAATCAAACTCAGTCTTTGACTAGCTTGCAAACTACCCGATTACAGAAGCAATAGAGCCTAATAAGAGACTCCAGACAACACTCTCTCATCAACTATTAGCCTTTCTTAAAAAATTTTTATACAACTTCTACCCTGGCAAAGAGATTAAACCAGCAAGAGTAAACCAACAAGGCACCATAATTAGACCACTATGAAAGCAAACTTCCAATATCTTATTCACACAATGCTGCAGACAAACCAAAATTCCTTACAAATCTTATCTATCAGGGCAATCCTGAGATAACCTCTGAGACTCCAATCCTATTCTTATTTTTAGAATTATTTCTTAAAAACCTTATTCACAAATTCACTACTATTCTTTTTACTAAACTTAACTATAAAGAGATATTTGTATTAGCAATATCTATTTTACTATACAAACCTGAAAACAGACTACAAGCATGTCTTAATCTAGCATGTTTACATCTCTATCTGTCAAACAACTACCAAACTATTAACTACAATAAATTTGCCAAAGATTTTAACTTTAGACCAAAACACTTTAAAGTTACTTTAAAATCGAATCAACTGATGAAGACAAACCAATTTTTTCATTCAAAGCAGACCAAAGATTTAATATTACTATATTCTTTAACTTACCTAAAACTACTTTTCTTGAAAAATTTAATATCTCCTCACTTAATGACTCCTTTACTGATTTGGACAAATGGTTTGAATCAGCATATACTAATACTGTAGACAATTCTCTACAACTCCAGACAAAAATAAAATAAACAAACGCATCAAATCACAAATTCATAGAGAACTCATTTTTAACTTACTAAAATTTCTTTCTGACAAATTTGACTTCACCAAACCTGAAACCACATATGAGCACAAACTCTCTTCATCCAAACTTACCAACTTCCATACTCTCACTTGTACCAATAAAGACTATACTTTTAGAAACAAAGAAAAAAGCTACTTGCATGACAAAGAAGCACTGTATAATGCAACCCTAGAACAATCATATAAAGTATACCCAAAACAACCTACAGAAGACAAATCTACACTACAAATATCTTCTCTTGATACTTCAATTTTTCACAAAGATAGCAAACATGAAGCAACATTTAGGAAGATCATTTCTACTAAGATTATAGACCAACTAGCAACTGATACAGAAGAACAAATCTGCAAAATCAATAAAACTAAAACCAACCCTAGAAGAAGAGGTTTCCTTTTCTATCAATACCTAGCTGATTACTACCGTATTGCCACCCAAAACCACAATATTCTAAACAAAACCAAAACTGAGGCTATAGAATTTCTCACCAAATCTCTAATTGATATAGACTATCTGGCCAGAGTTATTACATATTATGATCTCATTAAAGGCCAAAGAATGTCTCTTAATCAAATCATTAAACATTATAATGCAACCTCTAAACCTGAAGCTAAGAAATTTCTTTCAGAAAAATTCAAAATTAATTTCCAACTAGTTGAACTCGAGGTCTTACTTTTCCTCGAGCCATCTCCCCTTTTCAATAAATGTATCTTTTACAATTAACATAGATGCAGCCACCGCTTTACTAAAAGAAACACCCATTATATTTAGTAAAAAGAATGATGTAAGTAGGCAGGTGGTTAAGCCTATTTACCTGAAGGCTTGGGACAATGACGGCCAGACCCAACGTACAGGGCAGGCTACAAGCTTTTTGAAAACTATGAGAACCGGGTATATGGCAAGCGACTATATAAAAGATACTAACTTGACAAGTTTGCGACCAATATCCTTAAAACCCTGCAGCTTGTCTA